ACCAGAGAAAGAAGATCTAGTGATTCATCATAGTGAACAAAAATGCGAATATGACAGTCATCAAATTTGTAGATATTTTCAAATATTGTTTGTTTGTTAACATCACTGAATGTTAAATAGCATGATTTTTCTTGAAGGTGAATAGCCGATATTTAAAACAGACTCCCATAAACTGATGTAGAATAAGATACACAGGTGGAGAGACTAAGATATCATCTCTGTAGGTATAGAAATGTCAGCGGGTAGAAATTAATATATAAATAAATAAATAATTCGTATAGATGTGCAAAGATTTACTTTCATCAGTAGTAGAAACTGATTTTCTTTGAGTCGATAAAAAGCACCTTTTGAGCAACTTTTTCGTGAAATGATTTTGGGCAACTTTTGAAATTTTTTGGGGCAACTTTTGAGAGATATCCGAGCAACTTGTGTAAAAGCCTACCTAGGAGATTGCGCCTTCGGCGCTCATTTTGCAGTAAATCGGTCAAAATTTTTCCTAGATCCGCGCCTGGTCGCTAAGGTGGCCGTTAAGCAATTGACAAGTTTCCACTAAGTCAGAAAAATATTAAAAATTCGATGCAAATATATGAAAATCATATAAGTGCACTGCGGTTGAAGAAACGAATATAGAATCGATCCTCTCAGCTATTAACACTACTGAACTAGTAGTTGAAATAAGGCCTGAAAAAAAAATAGAGACCCAAACGGGATATAAACCCATGACCTCTGTGATACCGCTGCAGCGCTACCGGTTCAAATCCCGTAGGGGCCTGAATTTTTTTCAGACCTTATTTCAACTACGTAGTTCAGTATTGTTCATAGCTGCGAGGATCGATTCTATATTCGTATATTAAAAATTCTTCAGACGAACATTTTGATAACCATAATTCCCCCAATTCACCTTGGTTAACACACCACTTCCCGCTTTATGCAATTCTAAATTAGTCAGGTAAGACTGACATTACCAACAAAAGCCTTCATGCTAGCCTGAGCTCTCCATTTTGACTAATCACTCAGAATAATATGCTAAACTTAAGGTGGATTTTTATGATAACTTTTATAATGAGTATTGAAATAAGATGATTTTCTTTCTTGACCATTTAAAGGATTTTTTCCATGTTTTTAAGCAAATGACATGGCCAATATAAGAGAAGTTATAGGGCAGGATGTTCTAGAAGAATAACACAGTCGGAAATACTACAGTCCCATGTCAGCACCTTGCCAAGGCATTTTAGAAACACTTTGCCAGTGAGAATGGTGTCGTGCATGCAAAACCACTGCACCAGGACTTTTCAATACCAATTTCAATAAACTTACCATATCAAAGAAAAAAATGACATAATATAGTATAATTTCTTATTTTACAATTGAAGGTTGTACATTTACTTTGATGTTTAAAGAACGTTCAAGGCAAGGAGAAACTCTTATCATTTGCATAATCATAATAATTTTTTAGACAAACTCAAAGTACAGCCTCTTTTTATTTTTCCCTCGGGACACTTACTGAAGTAGTGCTCTAAAACTACCCTTGTAACCACCCTTAAAACAAATAGCTTAAGAAAGGTTGATTATAACCCACTTTTATCTCATCATTTATCTAAGCAAATAAAAAACACTTCCTAAAATCTAAATAGCAACCTTCTTTACCATTGACCTGAACTTTTACACTTAAAAATCAGTATTCAAGTTCAGTAAGTATGTCAGTTAATCCTCTAAAAACCATCATCTGAAAAGCTGACTGACAGAAACACTGCCTTAATATCTCCTCTTCAGGTCACGTCTGCAAGACATCTGCATGACCTTTGCATTTTTTGTTATCATGTACATAGTTTCTTATCAAAGAAACAAAAGAAAAGAATCTGTAAAATTTGAGGTCTCTAAATTGGTTGACTGTGTAGAAGTTCAAGCATTTAGTAATGTTGCTTATAGAGAGTTTCAAATCAGTATGATCCATCTACAAACACTTACTTCACCAAGCGGTAGCTTAAAGGAAGTAGAAAATTAAATCATGATTATTAAATGCAACAACATGTTTTACTCATTTCTTGCCTTTATATATGCTTCTTATAAAAGCTGCAGCTCTTTCACTGTGTCAGGGATTGGTCATGTGTTAAACAGACTTTATTCTGATCATGTGTAAGAAGTGTTTTATTGACAGTAACATTTTCAAGAGTTGAACTGAAACTTTGAAGATGGGTTTTTTGTGGGTTCAGTTTCCCAGAGTAGTGAAGCTCAATATGCTGGTAGCAATGCCCCTAATTCTGTGCGAAAGTAACTTTAAATAAAATTAAGTATATTCTAACATTTGGAACAGCAAGACACTGTTTCAAAAGCTACAGAAACACTAACCAGTCAAAATAATGAAAACGCAGCTTGTTGTAATCACAGGCCACCCAAACTAGTGCCCATGTTGCATGAAATGTTTTGATATATCAACAATTAGTCAATGTTTTATGAGCATTGTGTCAAGATGGCACATGACATTTGAGTGGTATTGGATTAACAACCACTGTTGACAAATTGAGGATTAGACTTAGTGAGAGGAGTAGAATATCACCAGTTTGAAATGGAAAATAAAGCCTTGTTTCAACTTCCTATTCATGAAATAACTAAAACAAACCTAATGCTGTATGCAGCACAAGTTTTGTCAGAGGGGGAGACAGGTAAGTAAAAGCCATACACTTCACCATACAGCTTTATCAGGAGGGGGAGTAGGTAATAGGATTTATAGGATGCAAGGGTAGGCTACATTTAATCATGCACCCAACTCCCTCCCCCCCCGCCATACTCTATAACCAGTCCATAATTGGTCAGCAGCTGAAGAAAGTAGTACTGATCTATACCATTTTATATTTTTGCTGTCAGTGCTCTCTTAAGCTCTGACTTAGCAACGGCCTCCAAGTGAACTTCATCTGGGCCATCGGCTATCCGCAAACTCCGTGCTTGAGAATAGAAACCAGCAAGTGGAGTATCCTGACAAACGCCTTTTCCTCCATGTATCTGAATAGCTCTGTCGATAACATTACAAGCCATTCGAGGAACAACAATCTTTGCCATGGCAATCTATAAAAATATATATATATATTATATATTTTATCATGTCCAGGATTTTAGTGTCTTATGTGTCCAAATGCTTTGAGATGCTGTAGTCACATTCACTTTTGCAAAGTGAGCTGCCGTAAGTTGTAAAGCAATCATTTTACTTGCCTTATTTCAAGAATTTAAATTTTTTAATCAATTGAACAGGATCCTCTTTGACACACTGTGCCAGACTGAGATACACTGAGGTTATTAAGTGTAATAATTATTGTTACTTTACATTTACTGTCAATTAAATGTTAAATCATTGTTAATGATATAGAGTCATCATAAAGATAATGAAAGTATAATGCTAGTTTCCATTTGGAGATTGCAAAGCCTTATTTGTGATGCAGAATTTCAGTCAACCGTCTCATAAGCGGACACCTTTAAGAATTGGAATGAGTGTCTGTTAATAGAACTGCCTGCCTATGGAAGTTTTAAGCAGACGCCAAAGAAAAATAGATGAATGTCCACTTACAGGAGAATATTTCTCCTGTATATATTAGAATATTTTGTCCACTTACAGGAGAATAGGTTTCCCATTTCGCACTACCAGCCTACTTATCAGATGTCATAGAATAGGTTCAGAAGCATGTTCTGACAATCATCTACCCCAACATTGACTATGCAGACAGCTTGGACCTCAGTGGAATTTTAAAGCTAAGCAACAGGTGTTTAAAAGCATGTGACAAACTATTTAATGACATTGTTACTACACCCAGTCGCAACCTTGGACATCTTCTACCAGAAAGACACATCCCAAGATACTTAATCTTTGACAGACTCAAGTCTTTGTCCCCCCCCCAGAGCAGAGACTTGTAAATTTACAAACACCTTTATACCATCCTCAGTTGGAGTTTACAACGAATCCTGATATATAAATTATGAACTACATTTTCCAATAGATTTAAGAGATATGATGCCCTTTTTTATAACACATATTTAGATCACATACATTAAATTATTTTGTAATTCACGCCATCAATGTTATTCAATTTATATATTTATAAATTTTATTTAAAATTATTATTTAGTGTACATGCAATTCAGCCCTCCAGCTGCAAGTTGCACTTTTTCAATAAACATATCTACACAACATATAACTTTAACATATATACCAAATGTACCAAGTGTGGAAAGTGATTCTTCCCTATGGTTTGCAATTGTCTTTTATAGTCAGTTTATTTTATGCTCTGTTATATATGAGCAACAAACCCTCACAACTTGTGATCAATGAACTAGGTCATTTTATACCCATTTACAACACATATGATAAGCAATGCAAATACACTTGACAATTTTATGCCCATTCTAATGATTAATCATCTAAGTTCAATTCTCAGCCATCAGCTGCATTTGTGTTGGTTATTCTGAAATAGCTAAAGATTAATTAGTAAGGTAGTAAGTAGTTGCAATAAGATTAAGAGAGAGGGTCACTATGATTTGGGACCTTATCCTTTAGAGTAAAATATCAGTTGCATGTTGAAATTAAGCCACACCTGATTCTTAGCAGCCTTGTTTCCAAGCTTGTCAATGTTATAAGCAGCATTCAAGACTAGCAATCTCGCCTGCTCAATTTCGATCCTAGAAAGAGCAATCTGCTCTTGAACCATCCCCTGAGAAAAAGGTAAATATAGTATAAGTTAATCTTATCATTAAAAATTCAGTTACTGGCTGATTTGGCCACAGAAAATGGTTAAAGGTGTCAAATTTTCAGACCTTTTCTGACAAACGTTTTCCAAATGCCACTCTTTCCAAAGAACGATGGACCATAAGGTCAAGAGATCGCTCTGCCAAACCAATCAAGCGCATACAGTGATGAATACGGCCTGGACCCAAACGACCTTGAGCTATTTCAAATCCCCTTCCTTCACCTAAACATATAAGAGAATAAAATTCCATTAGTATTTGTCACTCTCCCCTTAAACCACTGCAAACTTAGGACCTACTTAAATGAAATGCAGCCTGCTTAATTTAATGTTTCAGTGTAGATTACTGTATCAGAGATCTGGGGTAACTTGATTTAACTCTTGATGTCACTTTTCTGTTCACACCTTACTCTGTTTAAAAAGTTTTAACTAATACTTTCATTGAGGACTTTCCCATTAGCAGAAACAAAGTTATCTGAGAGTGCCACAGGAAATCTCTTAACATCTTGCAACCAATTTGTCAATTGGTGGACTTCTACTAAATGACATGAGAGATGAACCCATCCTAATCTAGCACCAATACCAGATTAATATTTGGGTTCTGTTACACATTTTGTAGCTACTATCTCCTATATAGTAGGAGGTAAAACCACACGTCACAGGGATGAGGGTCAGAGGGTAACAATAGAATGCCCAATTTCAACCAATTTTGGCCTGAGGTTTTCCTGATGCTAGTCACTGTTTGTTTTGGAGTATCTTTCTGCTTCAACTTTGGTAAGTTCTGGCTTTTCGATCATAACCCACCACATTATCAGTGATCTCATGAAAATATCTAAGAACTTACATGAATTATTTCCACTAATTTTCACCTTTAACACAAGCTTTTTACAGTTTATACCTAAAATATTGCACTGTTGTAATAAACGGAACTCTTTGGTTCAATATAAAAAGATTCCATAAATCTACCACGATAAAATGCTTTGATTACATAAAATCTGATGTGAAACACACGCTGAGGGAACAGTCAAAGTTCATTGGCTGGTTGCTTCAATTCAATTATGTATTTTCCTGCTTTGACATTTTTTCTAGCAATTATTGGGTACATCTCACTTTACAGAGAGGTGAATGCCTTAAAATGGATTATTTTTTGCAAACTTTCAAGAATTTTACTATCTCAACTAATTATTTTGATGCAACAAAACAATGCTTTTTTCAGTGCTTGCTATGATGCTATAGAAGACCATCATTGTTTTGCAATGCCCTCTTTTCCCTTTTCCCCTATTTCTTGCTGAAAAATGGAATTAGTGTGATTGACAAAGTATGAAAATTTTGAAGAGTGTTGTCTCTGAGTTAAAAGGGAAAGCATTTCACCTTTACAACCAGTGAATTATGCTCAGTAAAAACTGAATATATAGATATAATTTTTCAGGTCCTTCTGTGACACTACAGAGTACGATGAACATCTCACAATCATTTCACAATAGCCTCTTGCCAACAGGTGATTAAAAAGAAAAATTTTTCGTATCGAAAAATCTAATAGGTGTGATTGGTGCTTCATAGAAACTGAACAAAGATCTTATCTCAGAGGAGAGAAAGTACTTCACTGTTTTAGTAACCTAAATTATGCTAAGTAGAATTTGTAAAGTGAACAAGGTGGGAAATACAACACCTTGAATTTAACATGAAGTCAAAGTTTTTCATATTAAGTTAACAGAGAAATGAGAAAGTGTGCTAATTGAAAAGGCCTGCTGTACTGTTCTAGCAAGTGATCAACAGCAATGATTAACCTACTGAGTGTTATATGTTATATCTACTATATGTTTTCTAACTTTTTTGGGGGGGTGAGGACATGGTGGTGAGTAAGAATAGATCTTCTTCAACACTACCTGCTTAAATCATCATGTAACATCTATTTCTGTTCTTTGCTACATGCATAATTGTACCCTATCAGTAGCCACATGCAGTCCTTGATTGACTATTTTTATTGCTTGCTAGAATTTAGTGGAGATAATGAAAATATAACATTAACAAAAATTAACAGTAACCTGTGTATGTACATACCCAATATAATATTGGACACTGGTACATGAACATCTTTGAACTCAATCTCATAGTGGCCATGTGGAGCATCTGGAAAGCAAGAAAACATGACATAACACATGATTCTGATGGTGTGTCCATTTTTTGTGCCTAAGTCTTACTTAAGATAATTATACTTTCCCAGACAAACATGTTAATTTTGGGGACCTTAAGGTAAGTAACTAAGTTTTCCATAGCCTGATTATTCATGTCACATGTAATTCTAAATTATAAAGTTTAACCTGAAATAACTGGAAAAGTATGTTCCTATTGACACAATTACAGTATTCCTACAGTTTTGCAATTAACCTAAAGTTTTAATTTCAACTCAACACTGAGCCACGCTGCTTGGTACTTAAAGCAAAGGCCCACTCTCTTTCATCCCTTTGTAATTGAATAGCTGCAACAATTCCTTTTGCTGCACTTTGTTTTCTGGAAACAATGGCAGTAAATCACAAGGTCAACTTGACCATAATACATTCATACCTACAGTATTGTGCAAAAGTAATGCAAACGGAATTTGGCGAATTTCGTTATTTGTTTGAACGATCTTTCGTTACAAGAATGGCCTCATTTACATGTTCCATGCAGCCTTTCCCATGAAACATTTAAGGATCTTTCAACCTCTTTTAGCCTGAGGTCAGCCACCCTCCATTACAAGCACACCACAAATGCCATTTTATGCTTAACCTATCATCACTAGTGCGTCAACTTCACCAACAACTTTGGCCATACCAAGGCGTCCTGCATAGATGCCTCACTCGCCTTTCAAGATCTTGAAGACCTCTTCAGCAGCCTGGGTTTGGAATCATACCCCAGCCAAGGATTGCCGTTCCCTCAAAAGAATGGTATTCCTTGGTCAAGTTAACGACACAGTGACAAATTTCCTTGTACATCTTAGCTCATTTGTCATTGGTTAAATTCACCAAGCACCAACAAAAAAAAAAAACCAAAAAAAAAAATTAACCAAGCACCACAAAATTTTACTCATATTCATTTCTTTGCAAGCTTTCCCACATTAATCACTTTTCACCCAGCCTGGATCATCTCTCTGATCTACACTGGTGGAAATGTTTCTTTCCAGCATATCATTTGATAAGTTCATCCCCTTGTATCAACAGAAGTACTCATTTTTGTACTGATGTAGGCTTTACTGGTATTGGCTGCCTTTTCAAGAACCATTTCTTTCACTCTACTTGTCTGCCATTTATTAATTTAGCCTCTCTCTCTATCCTTTTGCTCAAAATGTGGACCATCACAATGTAATACTGACCCTGAAATGTTTGGAGAAGCCAATGCAATGGAGCACATTCCTAATCACAAAGTTCCCCTCACACCATCCATCCATCCTGCTCCCTTTCAATGCCCATCTTAACCTTTGCAACTCCTTCCACCTATGCTTCTTGTCTGACTGACTGGCTGGCTGGCTGGCTGGCTGGCTTCTTCACACTTTTTGGCACAACACATTTGGTCCCTTGTTCATTACATGCCTTTTCCGCATGCACTGCACTTGCTAGAGGCAGTATCACATTCAAAAGTTATGGCACCCTTCTTACCATAATAAAAAGAAAAACTTGACTAGCCTTCCTGTCAAAAGCTTCCTGAATGCTCAATTTTCTCTCTGCTCCTTACTACAGATTGTTCCAGCACCTGACACCTATCCTCTCTTCTCCTTCAATTCCACCTCACAGCAGCTCACCTGCAACATCCTAACTTCTTTGGATCCCCAGGACTACTCAGGGCATGGTCTGCATCATGGCAGCACAATATTTGCCTTTTAGTGTGGCATCCCAGGTGAACTCCTTAAGCTTCAAGGAGACTGGAGATCCAATGCCTATATGTTGTATTTGCCTCTTCCTTTGGCAGCCACACTTGTGCCCTCAAACTTTGTCTTTGAGCACATCCAAGCTTTTTAACTAGGTCAAGTTCTGAGGCCTTTTCCTTATACTCCCTTTGTGCTTAGTTCCTGACCCATTTTCTAGCATCCCATCCTTCCCCCTTGCATCTTCCTTCCTTCTATAGTGAATCTTGTCGAGGCCTCTTTGACCTTACTTGGAGGTTTTTCATTTCCTCATTAAAGATTCCCAATCAGATTCACCATCTTGTTTGTTTGTTATGTTGTGCAAGTGTGGTGTGGTGGGGATAATTGATTGTAATGCTAGAGGAATAAATCAGTAAGCCTACATGCTGCCCCTGGCTAACTGTTGAGTGACATTTAGAGAACATTTGATCACTTTGTTTTGTTCATTGCATCATTGCAGTTGTTTCTTGGCCATCGCTCCTGCACCAGGGGCTTTCCTTGAGCCAAACAGATTCACTGTCTTCTTTGCTTGTTGTGTTGTGTAAGTGTGGTGTGATAAGGGATAATTATGACATAATTCAAAATCTTACACAATTTTTTTTAACAGAATAATAGAAGAACTTTTCCTTTGTGAGGACTGTAAAGCACTAAATAAAGGTATGTATGTCTGTTACAAATTTTTTATAATAAATAGGCACAATCCAATAAGGGTGGTTATTAGAATGGGGGTGCTTACTCCATAGGGGCACGTTTAAACAAAAACAAATTTGAGGGGGCACTTTTTTGAGAGGGGTGCTTATTGGAAGGAGGGCACTAAATCCAATCATTACAGTACCTGCTGTAATTTTTCTGTAACGTTGGCCATAAAAGTAAAAGTAAAGTAAAAAAATTACCATTGTAACCAAAGACTGTAAGAGACCTGACTTTGGTTACACCTGGAGTATCTAATGGAACCAACACCATGGTGTGACGCTTATGTCTGGGGAAAGAAAGAAACAGTTCAATTAAGTAAATCTACTGCCTATGTGATATAATCAAAGAAATTTGCTTATTAACAAAAATTAAAACAAAGTCTTACTAAGTGACTATTTAGAACAAAACATCTTATTCCTGCTGAGGCACAACTGAACAGAAATGAATTTCAGATTTTGATATAATAATAAACAATAAGAACAAAGCTTTACAAACTGAGATATTTTGAGTAGATGAGTCTGCAAGGGCTTTGAGAGAATGACAATGATCATCAACAGTTAAAAATAAATCTAAATAAACAGTAGCTGTTTAAGTATCCAAAAGTTTGTTGAAACTCTCCAAAAAGAGTGTCAAAGACAATACAGTATTGCTAATGGAGACAAAAATGAAACTATCCAAAAAAACACATGAAAATATAAGTCAATACTAACATCAAACATATGAATTTAATGCCTATTTAAAAAGTCTTCAATGAGTATTGAAAAAAGGTTCAATCAACCTCAATTCAAACTTGAATTTAAAAGAGGACACAGTCTGTATGTTTTAAGGTAATGACAAAGATTATTCCAATCCTCCTCTCACTGAATCTCTGTCCCCTAGCCATACAAGGGGATGTTCAAAGGTTTGAAATAATGGATAGTGAGATTAGATATGTTTATATGTGCTTTAAGTTCATTGGAAAGGCAATTAGGATCAAATGTTGTATATTATGCAAATTCCATCGCAGCTCGTACAATTATACTCAATGGTGATGTTGCTGTAAATCTAGGGCAAATGGAAAGTATGGAAAGCCAAAGTGCACTGCAAAATAAACACGAGCAAGCAAGAGTGAAATCAGACTGGCTGATTAGTTTAAATTGCCGGAGCCTGCTCCCAAATATTGAAGAAATGAGACTCATCTTTACTTATAATCACCCCTCTATTATTGCTGTCACAGAGACATGGCTAAACAACACCATCTCCGATGACAAAATTCACATTCAAGGATACAGAGTAATTCAGAAGGATCAGTTGGTGCATGGCAGTGGCGGCTGCACTCTATATGTTACTGATGGTTTTAATTTCAAACATCGTCTTGAACTTGAGGATCATGACTTTGAAGCAATTTGGATTGAGGGGAAGATAAATAAAACCCAAGTATGTCATTGGGTGCATCTACAGAGCCCCAGATGCTCCTGTGGATGATTTCTTTAATTATCTCAATGATGTTGTCTGAATAGAAACCTGGTCTGGGAAAGAGGTGATAATTACTGGTTATCTAAATTGCAATTGTTTAAATAACACCTTGCAACAAATGGGGAGAATGGGAGAGTTTCTGATGGCAAATGTACTGACACAATTGATAACAGAGCCCACCAGAGTGACAAGTTTGACCTGTTCCCTAATTGAAGTACTTATAACATCAACCCCTGATTCATTTAAATTAGCTGGTGTTCTTTCTACCTCATTTAGTGACCATTTACCTATTTTTGGAGTCCTAAACATGCCAACTGTTAGACCTACAGAACATTGATATCTTTCAACGCATTCCATTAAGCCCCAAAATGCTGTGAAGTTTAATGCTAACTGTGACAATTATTGACCTACTTCAGTATTGCTCTGGGTTTCTAAGATCATGGAGTCTTTTGTGAACAGAATTTGATAGAATAGAATGGTTACAGAATAAAGCTTTTAGAATAATCTTAAGGACAAACCTTCTGACTTGTACTCAAAGGATAAGAGACAAATTAGGACTTCTTACATTATCCAGCAGGCGACAATATATGCATCTTCAGCTAGTGTTTAAAATTGTTAATAACCATGATTGTCCCATGCAACTTCAGAGTTACATGAATTTCAGATCAGAACTTTGTGGAGGTACCCAAGAAATTCACTTGCCTAAAGTAAAATCTGCTATAGGCCAGTCTACATTTAAATTTCCAGCAGGAAAAAAATGGAGCACTTTATACTAAAGATTGAATTGTGGGCTAGACTTACATTTATGAACTTTTATGTAAAAAACATTTCACTATTTGTTAGAGCAAGACAGAATACAGCAAAAATGTAGCATATAATTTTTCTCAACTTTTTCTTTATATATAAATATATATATATATATATATATTTATATATACATAGCTGTTAACAGCTGTGACCAAATCTTGCCTTTTGGTTTTTAATATCTTTTTATTGCTAACACTAATTTGAAATATCAACCGCACATAGGTTTATACCAGCTAATCTATTTTTGCCGAATAAATAGTTAATATTATCATTATTATTACTATTATTATTATTATTATATGTGCATCAAAGTTTTGAACCAATAACAGTTTGGCCACATTTTTCCTGAAGTGTTGGAGAACATGGGTAAGGCCAAGTCAAGGCTTAGACCCTCAGGGTAACTGAAAGTTCCTTCTCCTCACAAGGTTGCTCCCCTCAGCCTTTGTAAGTTCCTCCCTTAAAGAAAACAAGTCTACCCCAACCTTTAACAGTTCACCCCCCAAATATCAAATGTTGTTTCCTTATGGCACAAAATATTGCTTCTCAGTCAAAATAATACATTTTTCAGTCAAAATGCTTTTTTTTTTTTCCAAATCAAACACTTGACTAAAAAAGCATGCTAAGTCACAGTGAAACACTGGGCTCCACAAAGCACAAATACCAGTATCAAACTATGACATACATACGGTGGTCATTCATTGTCTGAGAATATTTGCCCGACACTGAAGGAGCCTGAGTGTTTAGTTTGCTCTTGAAGTAGATCGTGATTTTTGTTGGGAACATAAGCAGGAAATAGTTAGCAAAAAAACCACAGTAATGTAGTAGATTTGTATAACTTGTGTAGGAGTTTTCCGCCATTTAGTAAAATGTCAAAAAGTTTACATCTTGATTGAACTGTGCTATGATTTCACTGTAAATTGCATGTTGATCCAAAAGCAGTATGACTTTGTAAGAAAATGAGTACATTCGGCTGTTTGGATATGAGTTGAAAGGTTTGAGGGTAAACTAGTAAAGGCAGGGGAAAACTTTTTTTTTCTACAGGGGAGTGACTAGCGAAGGGTGTAGGGGAGCAAACTTTGAATTGAGCAAAAGCTCCATAAAACAGACCAACATTGCCCTGACATCTTTACCTACCCAGAGGGTGGGGTAAGTTCTGTTCAGCAGAATCCCTGTCTCTGGAGTGAAATTTTTGATGATATTAAATAATATTATTATAATTATTTTAACCTGTTTATCAATTTCTGGCTGCTATTTTTTCCCTTCTTTGACAAAAGAAGTGTATCAGCCACGATTTTACCTCTAAATATCTCTTTGAGCTATATTTCCTTGATTATTTTATATTATCTTTTAGAATAACCCTGCAGCACTTAATTAATTGGAGCTGAAGACTCACCAAGATATTTTACCATGCTATCAGATCATTTCACATATGCATCAATTATACATAACCTGAGTAGTTTACTCACAACAGTATTGTGCAAAAGTAATTCAGCAGGAATTGTGGTACACCCACAACATTTGAGCAATATTTTAGTTGAAAAAATATATCAGCATATATCATAGGGCTATTGTTCTAACTGCTGTGATAAATTGCTGACATATCATTGAGCTCCTCATGAACTATCATTTACAGTAAGCGATATATTGTTCAAGCTGTACAATATATCACGTAGAGTGTAAACTATGTCAATTGAACTTGGTAAGTTAACAAACTTTTACTCTTGTATCCTGTACTCAACCTTAAACTCACAATGACAAACAGGAATTTTCATTAATTTGAATGTTTACCAGTGAAAGTAGTGAGAGATCCCATGCTTTTTAGAAACAAAAAGTTCATTTTACTTAATAGATAAAATGTGTCATTATTCAGAAAATGCAGTTTGTGTTATGTGTGTTAGAGAACTGTTATGCATTCAGTATTGTATCAACTTTCTTGCAGTATTGTGATTTAAACAGGTATGCAGTGAAGTTAATTGTTAGTAGCAGGCTGGGTATACTGATGTAGCAAACTTGATGTTCAAGGTAGCCAACAAGGTGCCAGCTCCATAGGAGCAAACTCCAAATTTAGGAAAACCAGCAGTTACCATAATGCGACGAGAGAAAGGCAGATCTCATAAAAACAGTACTTTGGAAAGAAATTAAAATTTCTGCTGAATCTGAGCAGAATCTCATAGAAATGTTAGGAAGCCTTTTTTTCAAGGTCTTTTCCTATCAGTGCCACAGCATAGAAGAAACAAACCAATGTGTGATACATGTTAAGTAAGCATAGGAAAACAACATCAGCTTCTGAGGGAAATAAAAAGGAAAAACATGTAAATTAGACTGCTCAGCTGTTCTAATCTTTGTTCTTTATGTACTTGTCATTTAACCATAGGGTGCTGTGATTGATGCTTCAATAAAATCATTTGGTTACAACCTATCGTTGTTGATTGATATGTTCAAACTAAATATTTCCCTTGAATAAAAGGGGTAAGTTTCTAAAGAAACTGAGCTGTTGTGTCAGTGGGAGAGTATAACAGGGTAATTTAGTGTTATCACCTGAGTTGAAATTGTAAATGGGCCACTGTAAAGAGTTTAAAGTCTGATGTTTCAAGCATTAGCACTTCGTCAGAACAATTGGAGGAATTGTGGGTTGAGCGTGGGTTTATATGCAGAAACTGGAGCTATGCTATAGGTGGGAATAAATTACTAGAATGAACAGCATTTGTTGATACCATGGGGATTAAGAGTGCCTATTTAGAAGATAGTTATTTGTTCTAGAGTTTCGCAGCTTTCCAAACTACTTAGGTTTAGGGAAAGGCCACAAACTGTCATATGCTGTTTAGAATGATTAGAGATATTTGAGTGTCTAGTGACTGGTTTGGATGCATCCTTGACATTTCTATCTATGTTGTGAAGGTGTTCTCAGAAGCGGTCACCTAGTCACATGCCTGTTTTACCAATGTATGACTTTTTGCAATACATACAAGTTATGCAATAAATGACATTGGCCTTTAAACTCTTTACAGTGGCCAATTTACAATTTCACCTCAGTTGATAACACTAAATTACCCTGTAAATATTTCCCTTGTTGCCAGCCATGTTTCAAATATAATGATGTAACAAAGTTCAACTCGTTACCTTTCCAAACAAGTTATTGAAGTAATTTTAGTATGATTATCTATTGACTGCAATCACTTAATGCTACTTTTGCCGAGGCAATGAGAGCACAGAAGGAAATTGTTTATAGCACATTATGCTAAGTGGGGGAAAAATTTCACTTGCACAAGAAATCATGTACCAGGCACTCTACTGTACATCATTATAGAGATATATCCTCAGGACAATATACAATATATGTAATGTTATGATGATTTATAATTGGAATGAGATATCTTAGGAAAGCTCTAATATGTTGTTGATTTATTGTTCTGAAGTGACAATAGAATGCATGATAAATTGCTGATATAATGCCAATATATCACAAGAACAAAGCATGATATTTGACGACTATCATTTGCATTACTTTTGCATAGTGCTGTACATGTACATGTATATTGGAACGAGATATTGCAGGAAAACTCTGATATCTCCTCAATTTATTGTTCTGGAGTGTCAATAAAGTGCAATATTTGACAATAATCATTTGTATCACTTTTGCATAGTGTGGTACATGTACGTGTATACTAGAACAAAACATCACAGGAAAGCTCTTATATCTTGTTGATATATTGTTCGGAAGTGCCAATAGAGTGCAATATTTGACAATTATCATTTGTATTACTTTTGCATAGTTTGGTGCATGTATAATGAAGAAGATATCAAAGGAATGAAAGCTAAAATATTTTGTCAATATATTGTTTGCATCACTTTTTGATAGTGCTGAACAAGTATACTAGTATACTACACTTATACCAATAGCTCTGTGAGTATAGTTTATTATGCAGTTAGGCAATGCAAACACTGTTAGGCCTTGTAAGTAATGTAAGTCATGTTTTGTGGTGATTAATTTTTTTAAGTTTCTTCTAGATTGTTAATTACATGAGCATGATTTTTCAAAACCATTGTTAGTACTGTAACCAAAAATGTCTGTATTGGAATTTTGATATCGTAGAGTACAAATGGTATAATTCTACAATTTAAGTAATGTGCAGGTAAAAAAAAAAGTTTGTTTTCTCTGAGTTTGGTTTTCAGTTGTCTACTTCCTAGTTCTATTCACTTTCTTTTCTCCAGATATAAAAGGGGACAAAACACCAGTTACTCATTTGAAGAACATAATTTAGGTCATGCATTGCATTAATAATGGCTCCAGCTTGCATGAAATCTGAAGTTTGGTACCATCCACACAAAATTGAGCTGAAAAATGTCTAGGAACACATGGCAGGTCCCACAGATGTTAAAGTTGAAGAGAAGGGTCCCAGGATGAATCAACGTGAGAGGATGATAGGAGGGCACTTGACAGATTTGACCAATACTCATGACCTGGCTCCTATTGCACAGGCACAGTAGCCCATAAACTGCTCAACAGCAAGGTCTGAGATACCAAAGACCCCCGTTTCATTGATAGAAAATCAAAATATGTATCATCAAAGGCCTTGCACTTATTCAGTATGTCTATGCTGATCAAGATTTGCCAGAAAGGATAAATGCTGTATTTCCGTGAGAAGACATTTCTCGTCACCATATTTCCTTTCAGGAATCAATTGTTTTTCACAAGATATGCCATCAGCTGATTTAAAGCCATCCTCTCCCAAACTTGTGAATGGATAGATTGGTGTGGGTTGATCCTTGTTGAGACATATGGTCACCTTATCTTGGAATTGGAATTTCCTAGTAAGCATTCTTCCAAATGTTAGGGGAAAAGCCACTTACAGAAGAGCAGTTAATGAAAATTACAATAATAATAACAATATGTATGTAGCATCAAATCCATTAATTGTCCATAGCACTTTACCTTAAATGTCTTTTAAGCCTTTCAATCAAAGAACTAGATCTTTTGTGGTTGCCATAGGGGTTGAGAAGATGATCTTAGTGCCCGTTTAGAGGTGCAATAATTAAGAAAGTGATTAGCAGCAAAATAATCAAGAGATAATCTTAGATAAAATGAAGAAATTTTATCCAAGCATGGGGTTTTGTTAGATTGAATTGTCATGATCATTTTTTCAACTTGTTCACATCCCAAACAATTAAAAAAAATTTTGCAAAAATGGATACTGCCTAAGGGCAAACCTTGAATTAATAGTGCAGTATTCTCGGTAGAATTCAAGTGCTTTTATCCTACAATTGTACTTTGATTGCCTCATATAGAGAATATTGTTACAAGAGTTAGCCAAAGATTTAGCATTTTGAGGTATGTTTTCAAGACTTAAATATGTCTCTCCTCCTTGATTTTTCATGGCATGGCTTCTGGTAATGGTGTTAACCAGTGAGAAGATGTTGAGGCAGCAAGGAAAAAGGTGAAATCAAAATTACTTTTCCTACTTTATGAGTTACAGTGTAATCTAAGAAAATCTGACAGATGGTTGGGTCATAATTGTTGCTATGCATTTCATTTTTCCGAAAGGACCGTTTTGATGAACCTTTTTCACAAATTATATCTTCACATTCTATCCCACTTTGCTTTCCCCAAAAATCAAGCACACACCTAGATGGCCCTTGTCCCCACATAAAACATTGACAAATTACACAACTATTGTAACTTTGCACACCACAATGCAATGCAACCCTTTGCAATTTCATATGCTACAAAATGGTCTTCTTAACTTTTTGAAAATTTAAATTTCTTGTTATGTTAATAAGTTTTGAAGTCTAAATAGTCACCTGTGGAAATAATGTACTTATATCTGTGCTGTACTTTATATCTTTACTTATATCTGTGCTGTATATATTTAAAAATTACAATATACATCATCTTAAAGCTTTATTCTTGTAGTTTAATTCCTCCAACTCTCTCTTAGCCCACCATGTATGCTTTATTCTTGTAGCTTAGTTCCTCTAACTCACTCTCTTGATCCACCATAAGCTATGCAATTCTCTGGCAATGCCTTTTTTGCAAGGGAGGGGGAGGTAGTTTTCTCAAGAAGAATAGTAACACAGGCCAGTTTTCGCTGACCTGGTTATCACAGTTTGACCATTGATTCTAACATCTCACAATAAAAAAAGTCTAAGTCTACTGTATAATCTAATAGCTATTGCAGTTTCAAATGAATCAGTGCACTTGCATTACGGAATCCCTAATATACTGGGATCATGCCATATAGAAATGAAACCGAAAAACCAAACGTAAGGTAAGAAGTTCTTTTCTAATTCCATGCTTCTAGTTAACTAATTATCCATCGTGGGGAACTACTACTTTCAAAAATCCTGTTGCCATTGTGATGGTCTCTTTATTATGGTTGCTAATAGTTTATCACATCCAACAAACTTACTCCAGCATGAAATGCTGATATGTATGCATAAATGAAATTGTGAATTACCCTGCTCCCAATGAATTCTTAAGTAGTTTGAGTGTTTGGTTTAAGTGCTAGTGAAGCATTAATGTATATTATAGTTTGGCTGGTTATCAAATTGTTTAATTATTAAGATTTCTTTGAGAAGTTGAAATCTCCTTTCAAACCAGGTGCATAGTGTGGGCATATTTGGAACTTTTTTGGAGAAAGCAAAGTGCAATCGCACATTTTAGTAGAATTTTTGAAAAAGGTTTATCAAAAGCGACCTTTAGGAAAAATGAAGAAAGACAGATTCTCCATATTTATTGTTAGTGGCTCTTGAAAATCAAACAATTTCACACACAGTTTCCAAGAGGAAACTCATCCTTTGAGACTTAGACTCCTAGAAAAAGTAAATTTCACAGATTTCACGAAAGAAGAGTAACAGATGCCTTGTAATGATCATTTAGCCAGCCATAGTGCATTTCATTAATATGTGTTTTCCTGATGTTTTCCTCTTTTCTTTTTCAGCACTCTACCTATCTTTTAAAATTATTTTGAGTTGGGGAAGACAAAAGTGTAAATAGAAGTTTCGATATACCATGGCTTTCTATATCAAAGCTTAACATGATCTTAGTGCAAGTTTGGAAGAAAATTAACATGCAATACATCAGTCATTTTTCCTGGGAATTCTTACTCTCACATAACTCACTGAATGTTTCCTGTTGCAATAAGTAATAATCCAGGCACCTTCAGTAAAAATTTTACAATAAAAAGTTAAATAACCCTTATACCTTCCAACTTTACAATAATAATTTAGAATCCTTATAGTCATTTTACAAACTTTAATAAAAACACAACTGAGGAGCTTACTTTGATAGACCAGGAGCTTTACTAGTTCCCATTACAATGGCTATCTTGCAACGTGGGTCCCCTGCCCCTAAAAACAAAACCATTCATACATCAATGCAAATCTAGTGGAGTGACTTACAATAATGAAATCATGCTCTTTACCACTACTCCACCACTTTGTTCCATTGATAACAATTTCACTTCTAAGTCTGGTAATCGTGCACTCCATGTTTGTTGCATCAGACGAAGCCACACTTGGTTCTGAAATATTATAAAAGTAAGAGTAGCCACTAAGTCAAGTGACTTAAACATTTACGTACATGCATGCATACATACATACACCAAAACAAAACTACTGGTTTATTGTGTGAGTACACTTAAGGATTAAAGAGAAACAATTACAGGCTAGTTTTCAATAGAATAAATAACTATATATATAACAATACAAATGTTTACCAATAAAATTACTACATACACAGTCTTAAAATTTTAACAGAAAACATTTAAAAAGACAAATAGAGATCTTCATGTCACAGTAGAATAGCTTTTAAAAATGTGATCAAGATATACCTAAGAATTCTAATTTTCTGGCACTGCTTTTAAAAGCCTTCAAGGATTGCACTGTTCTTATTTTGTCTGGTGTTGCATTCCATAATTTTGGCCTAATGTACATCCAGGATTTTCAGCTAGAAGTCAATGTATTAGTCTTTGACTGCTATAAGATATCAGCTCCTCTCAGGTTGTATTGTTTCTTGGTTTGTACAATTGTTTCTGTGTCAAGCAGTTTTCTAATGCTTTTTGGTGTTCATAATCACTGGTATGATAGATATTACAGATTATTTTTCCAAAACATTGACTTTCAAGTTATGCAGGGTTACTCTGTTGAGCAGTTGACAACAAAAGATAAAGTCTCTACTCAAGCAAAGAGGTCCTCTCCAGCCAGAGCTCATCCAAGTTTCCATAGCATTAAGCAACTTGGAGCATCACCAGCACCACCTGGATGGGATGCTAGTCCATTGCAAGGTTATTGCAAGCATTTCTTTAGGCTTCCCTAACAATTTGCCAGTACCCATTTACACTCCTGGATGGACAGAGGCACTGAGAGAGTAAAGTGCTTTGCCTAAGAACACAACACATTGATGTGCCGAGCCCTGACTACTCAACCCAGAGTCAGTGCACTAAACCTTGGGCCAATGCATCTCCCACCACCTCTACCACTGTATTTGACTACAAGGTATCTGTTTGATTATTGAAGTGCTCTCTTCATGCAGTTTCCCTCACACCATTTATCAACATTAGAAAGATCTGCATTTAAATATCATGTTCAACTTTTTCTGACGTGCTATATTGGTATAAAATATGACTTTGCCAAACAGAGGGATTAATTAAAGAACTTTCTCAGAATCTTTCCTACACTAGTCAAAAAAATTAATTTTTCCTTAGAGCCATCCCACATGACAGACATTTGCACCCTACTAATTTACATTTAGTTTTACCAATAGATACCTTAGCTAAAGCTACTTATAAATTTTAATGCACTATAGTAAGGAAATGTAAAATGTAGTGTTACCATTGTCATGGTTGAAGTTAGACATACTAGGCCATTGTACAGTTGTGTACTTAGTTGCCAAGCCTTTGATTTCGAGTGAGGATGAAAGTGACCTTGTTGTGATAGAGACCAGTATCTAGTTAGCATGATAACAAAGTAATTTGTATTTGAAAAGCAGCAAGGTTTGTATCATAACAAGGTCACCCTTAGCCTCATTCCTCTTCAAAGGCTTGGCAACCAAGCACACAACTGTAAAATGGACTATTAGTTTAAATAATGAAATGAAACTAAGTTTTCAATAACTCAATACTTTCCCTTTATGCGGAGGACAGAGTTATAGGAATGAAATATATTACCTGTCATACAAAATGCTGACCTCACAGTCCCTTTCAGAAGAGGTTCAAGCCAGGCCTTCTTTTGCTCAGTTGTACCATATAAATGAAGGACCTCCATGTTGCCAGTGTCTGTACAGAAACAGAAAAAAGAGAAGCTATTTAACTGAGAGAAGAGTGTAAACATATTCAAAGCCTCTTTGTGTAATCTTAACTTATGTTTAGAGAGAGTATGCCTGAAAAAATTTCAGACTTTTTCAGTAATACTGTGCAAAAACCTAAGCTACAGACTGTCTAATGAATGAATGTCCACGATAACATCGGAACATAACTAACACAGGTATTGAAAACATGACCAAAGGCTTTTAATTGTAAGTATCCTAGCAGTTCTTGCAGTGAACACAAGAAATATGAGGAACCTTTTGTCCATTAGGATTTCATATGTATAATATGTAATACATAAACCCTTAAAACCATTTCAAAAACCTTGAAATTTGAAAATGTATGTCAAGTAAATAAACCTTTTCTTTTAATTGTCACCAAAAAGGTTTTTCTAACAGCCACTATTGTACTTTCCTTTTGACAAACTTATTGTCCCTATAATTTATTCTGTCTTCACCTTTTCCATGGGAAAAGAAAACGTGTATATATTCCACATTTATTTTGAAATAGCAATGTTTTTGAAAAAGAATGTATAGCAAAAATTACAAATCAAGTGTACCCATTCACAGAGAAGCCTTACCCTTAATTTTGAATGCTGCATGGCTATCACTAGTTAAACTGAGATATACGTTTGTATAAACATCATTGAAACTCCATCATTTTTCCCTGTAAAATGTGTCTTTCACTGCTTGGTTGTTGGAGTATTAAGCCATTCTATATACCACAAATCTTCCCAAATGATTGACAACAACAACCTTTTCAGTTACCTAATAAATTATTATTTCAAGCAACCATTCTATGATTTTAGGTTGCCAAATTGCTATTTAACAAAAGTGAGCTTAGAGTCCTGAATAGTATTGTTTGTGTTATAAATCTCCTATGTATATGCAGACAACTGCTTTCTTTACAAAACTACCACAAGTTTTCAATGTTTTCAATTGAAGATATGTTTCATGGTTACTCAATCTCATCATCAAAGTGATTTATAAAATGGCTTGAAATAACATGGATTGAAAGGATGTTTTAGTTTCGAAACACATAACTTGTGTACTTTTCTGTTATGTTTGTTCTGGTCTATTATTTCTTTGTTGGTTAATGATTATTACCTAATAAGTTTTTTTACTTCAATCAGTTTCATTTAAGCACATGTACCAGATATCATATTTCATATTTCATCGCTATAAGTTGCTGTTGACGCCACCAATTTTGTCTGCTATTCATGTACAATCCACTATCAGTGATTTATCTACAATCATTAGGAGCTAGACCAAAGTAAGTTTTTTTATTTATCATTTAAGATATTTCCTTTTTTTTTATACGTACATCGATTTATTTCTTGCTTTCAGTTCACTTTATAACCGCTTCATTGTTAATTAGGCTAGTGTTACATTTCTCAAGGATATTTTCTTAATTAAGTTTCTGCTGCATTTTCTTTTAGTTCAAACCACACAAATTCAGCTACAATGTTACCATCAATCATAACTAAGCTATCTTCAATCTTATTTTTCCCTCTTCATCTGTGATTTCAAACCTATCTCCTTATTTTTGTTTGTAATTTTGATTATGTACTTCATTTGATTAAACCCTGATTTATATTGTACGTTAGGATTGTCTTTCCCGCTACACTAGTAACCTTTGAAGGTTACAGGATGAAGGGCCAAAGAAATGAACTCTGGTTGATGGAGGCATGTAATTCAATTAACCTGTACCCTTTTAGACACAAACTCTGTCTTTGCACATTTTATAGATATAGATAGATCTGAATAGACTTTTGTAGATCCATATAGATCTATATAAAGCATCTTCTATTAGTAAGTAACCCATGAAGGTACCTGGTGCACTACAGTTGAAGACTTCTGCAGCAAAAGGACATCTTCCTGTAACCTCAGCTAGCATGGCATACTCAAGTTGACTTAAACCTGACACACTTGATAGAAAGAGGTTCCACAAACCTTCCCCTTGAGCTTTTTCCTGAGTGAAAAAAATAGATGATTTTGTTTACAAACCTGGAGAATTTCTTCCAATAAATAGAATCTTTTTCTTTAAAATGCACTAAAATCCCCAAATTTTTCCTTTGATAGAGTTACCCAGATGCCATGGCAACTCTGTTTCTTTCAGTAGTAAGACTAGAGCTAAGCAATTAAAAGTAGCTGAAACTACTATCACAGATTTTAAAAAGGTGGAAAATGTTTATGACAGAAAATATCAGCAGGTGTATGATTAAAGAAATTCAAATGACACAGTACCTTCAAATCTTCCATAAATGGAGGGACACTCCACTGGGTCGCTGGATTACTCACATGCTGATAGTAAGACTAACAAAAACATACAGTATAAGTAAAACTAGTTCCTTGTCTGACAAATGGAGGATGGGTTTCTGGACCTTAAAAGGAGCATACAAATGGCAAGTTAATCTTGTTAGCAAAGTAAGATGTCAGCTTTTCTATCACTGTGGCAACCTGCTCTTGTTAATGGATTTAGTTCATAAGTTACAGACCCTCCCACCTTGTCTTATTCTGTTTAAGCAAAACTTTATTGTACTGATCATGACCATCATTTTGCTAGAAAGGCACCCTCAGTTAGATTGAAAATCAGTCTGCAGTACATAATGTCAACTCTCTATCTTTGCTTTGAAGGTGGGGTTACATGAAGAGGTCATGTTCTCTTGCATCCTGAGAGGATCAATATGCCATTAAACCAAACTAATATTAGATCAATTGCTCTAGTGATTATAGATGCACATGCTGTTAATGATTGAGGATTGCATGATATCTTGCCATGATCACCTCGCATAAGGTGATTACAGCAGGAGCCCTGTATTGCTTAGGGTGTAGGGTTAGGGTTAGGGTAGGAACTGATGACTGTGATAAAGAAAGTTCAGTTCTGAAGAGCACAAAAGATGCCACTAGGTTTGGAGTAACAGTTCCCTGAAGAACGATGTAAAGTTTTTGCTGATTGAATAACATGAACCTGTTAAATTCCAGTGAAATTTGGCTCTTTACCTTGGTACAAGTAATCAAAACAACAGAATGGTTTCAACATTACAACAAAATTTGAAAGCACTTAGGTAGGTAATTATACTACAAAAATCATTCACCTCAGGTTCAGTGAATATTGTTGAATAATCCCCCTTGACTTAATCTTGGCAAGGGGATTATTCAACAATTATGATGGTGCTTGATTGTTAAATAGTCTGAGGTTTTTCAAATAACTTTTGAAGCATCACTATATGTTATCATTGTTGGGTTTTGAATCATCTATTCCAATTTTGGCATATTTCTAATGTTTCTTAACATAACCTTTAATTGTAATTATGACTTTTCTTAAGACAAACCTTACAAAAACAGTCTAACCCCAAAATAGTATAAATTGTTTCAAATAAGTTACTGGTTATTAGTTACTACCTATTATTGGTGCTAGACAATAGTAGTCAACCCAGTTCCTTTCTTTTAAAAACAGATGACAAAGATGACAAAAGTCATGTCATGATACATGTTAAAGGTGTGATTTGTACAAATGGTTTATCCACTTACTTCTTCGGCTGGGTACACATACTTTTCCATAAAAGCAATCATTTTTTGATAGAGTCTTTGAGCCTTCAGGGATGGCTGGAAGATGGAGGACACATTCTCCATAGGCATGTTCAATTTACTTACATGGCTTGCTCTCAAATAAGAAAGAAAAAGTAATATAGGTTGGAAAAGTAGTTAATGTTGACCTTTCATCAAAGAAATACTTTCTTTCAACAATGATTTGGTATAAAACAATGAATTAATGAACTTCTAAAATTGTCTTTAACCGAAGTTCCCAAAATTGGGTGTAAAGGTTGCCAATCAAGCTTTGTGGATCACATAGAAACATTGATAATTTAGAGTAAACACAAATTAGTATAAAAGACTGCCAAAAAAATGTGGCATTGATTTTAACATAACTTTCACACATTTGGAAAAAAACTTGAGGAAATAAAGCTTTGTTTTTAAGCATAATAAGAAAGATGGAAAGTTTTGAGCTTGGTAGAAAAATAGATAAAGATGGTTTCCGTCTTGTCACGAGCGTGGAACAAAGAAAACATTCTGAGTCCCCATGAGGAATTGAACCCATGTCATATGGACTTCATATTGGGTCTCGCTCACTATAGAGTCTCTGTGGCTCAGTTTTTTTCTCATATCCCATGATTTGTGCACAAGGTGTGTTAAACATTCCTAGGACTTACTGGGCCTGAAGGGCCACCTTTAGTCCTGCACATGCCAGGGGTTCAACAAGATTTCCAAATAAAGAAGCATCTTCAGCACTTGCATTTCCATGGATGGCCCTTGCATAGATTCCCTGAAGGATACAATTTTCACTATGAATTGTGATATATAAACACAGAATGCAATAGACCAAGTAACAGCTGGTCAACATGTCATCTATCACCAAGATCACAATTTGAGATCAAAATATTATGGTACTTCCTAACACCTCCAATAACATAATCTTTTCTAAAAGTAGTTCCCTTGATTAAAGGCTCTTACTCAGAAAAGGTAAAATTATGGGTAGAGTTTTAAAAAGAAGGCCACTTTTGGTGAAATAGAACATTACATGCAATGTTAACTCTGCTTTGTCCCTAAGTATCTGAAATACAGCACAATTTTCCACAATCAATTAGAGTTCAACATGTTTCTTTCCATCTTGTGCAAAGTTATGTTCATAACATATAAATGCTTTCATTCAGATGTAGTAATACTACAGTAATGCTATATTTGCCATAATAAACCATGGTTGTTGACAAATTGAAATGGCCCCTGATAAGTGAACAAGCTCTATCAAGTAGCTACATTTGGTCACTTTCTGAGTGGCTACCTACTAGGCATTTAACTCTAATAACATTACCTGGGCTATGGCTGCCATTCTAAAAAATGATAATGCAATGTAAAAGTTCCAATGTTCATGGTGAATATCTCCAAGTCCTCTAAATTTACAGTACAAAGAAATAAGATCCTTCTCTGTTGGAATTCCTGGAGCCAAGGACCCTGTAAAGAGAGACAAAAAGCTTTCTAATGCATTGCTTATCCACTCCATGTAGCACCCACTTTGGTAGCCATAACAAGTAAGAAAAAGGTTGGTGACTGAATATACAGTCAAAATTGCATTTCACCTCTAGTGGCAGGCACTCATGAAGCAAGCAATCAAAAGACAAAACAAAAAAAGCAAAAACAAACTTTATTCAACTAGAGTAAACACTTAACAGTAATTCAACTGAGAAACTAGTGGCCTTCTATCCTAACAACAGCTGTAGTAATAAGTATATACAGAAACACTATCTACAGGTCTAATTTAGAGAGGAATAAAAAAATTGCAAAAAAAAAAAGGAAAAAAAAGAAAAGGTTGGACAGCTAAATAAACTCAATATGCATTCAGAGTGAAATGATCCAATTCATTGTATCCTGATAAAAAATGGCTATGGGTGGCCTTTCTAAAAAAGATTGTTAAAGCCCCAGCTTTCTTCAAAGTATTTTGTGGGGAGTTCCACGGAATTTGGTTTGTGGTGTTGTTATTAAAGGCCAGGAGACTTACACGCTTATTGCAGTTTCATCGTTGAAAATTGTTGGTGACATGTCGTTTCGTCATGAGCTTTAGCCGCAAGCAGCTTACAGATCCCGTCGCTCGGCGAGTTGGAACACGCGTACGACAACCAAACCGTTCGCTGGATTTTGAAGCGTCTAACCTGGAAACACTTCGTTTAAAGAAAAATTCAAGGTCTGGTCACCTATCTACCGTAA